CAGGAGAACTCTTGGGTAAGCAGGTACACTGTCAATGAACAGAAATATTTTGAAAGGAATCACTTTTTCTTTTCTTTTGGTTTCTTTTTTTTTTTTTTTTTGAGCAGTAGGTCTCAACAGCAGACTTAAAATGTTCGGTAAGTCATGACAGATGTGCTGTCATCTAGGCTTTGTTGTTCCATTTATAGAGCACAGTAAGAGTATATTTAGCATAATTTTTAAGGGCCTTAGAATTTTTGGAATGGTCAGTGAGAATTGGCTTCAACCTAAAGTCACCAGCTGCATTATCTCCTAACAAAAGAGTCAGCCTGCCCTTTGAAGCCAGGCATTGACTTTTCCTCTCTAGCAATGAAAGTCCTAGATGGCATCTTCTTCCAATAGTAGGCTGTTTTGTCTACATTGAAAATATGTTTAGTGTAGGCACCTTCAATGATCTTAACTAGATTTTCTGGATAACTTGCTGCAGCTTCTACATCATCATCTGCTGCTTCATCTTGTACTATTGTGTTATGGAGATGGTGTCTTTCCTTAAATCCCTGCTAGCTTCAACCTTTTCTTCGGCAGCTTCCTCAGCTCTCTCAACTTTCATGAGATTGAAGAGAGTTAGAGCCTTGCTCTGGATTAGGCTTTGGCTAAAGGGAATGTTGTAGCTGGGTTGATCTTCTCCCCAGACCACTAAAATTTTCTCCCTATCTGCAATGAGGCTGTTTTGTTTTCTTATAATTCGTGTGTTCACTAGAGTAGCATTTTCAATTTCCTTCAAGAACTTTTCCTTTGCATTCCCAACTTGTCTAATTATTTGACACAAGGCTGAGCTTTTGGCCTCTCTTGGCTGTTGATACATCTAAGCTTAATCATTTCTAGCTTCTGATTTAAAGTAAGGGATATGCAACTCTTCCTCTCACTTGGTCACTTAGAGGGCATTGTAGGGTTACTGGTTGGCCTAATTTCAATATTAGGCCATTATTATTAGTGTTTCATCTCAGGGAATAGGGAGGCCCAAGATGAAGCAGAGAGGCAGAGGAACAGTGGTCGGTGGAGCAGTCAGAACACACACATTTATTAAGATCCCTGTCTTACATGGGTTCAGTTCATGGTGCCCTCAAAACAATTCCAACAGCAACATCAAAGATCACTGATTACAGATCACTGTAACAGGTACAATAATGAAAAAGTTTGGAAGATTGCGAGAATTACCAAAATGTGCTACAAAGACATGCAGTGAGCAAACGCTGTTGAAAAACGGTGCTAGGACTTGCTTAATGCAGAGTTGCCACAAACCTTCGATTTGTAAGACATGAAATATCTGCAAACAGCAATAAAGTGAATCACAATAAAACAAAGTAGGCTTGTACAGCAAGGAGGTTATACAAATATACTTTTGAAATCCTACAGCCAGTTTGAATCCAGGCTTTGGCAGTTATTAGTATGACTGGGCAAACTACTGTGTTTTTAAACTTCATTTTTCCTATCTGTAAAATGGGGATTTTTATAGATTGTTTATATATATATATACACACACACACACAGTTGTTGTGAAGATTTAAAAATGTACACCGTCATAAGGACTTCGTAAAATAAGCTATTATTGTAATCTATTGGAGACAGGGGGACGTAAAAATCCACACTGATAATAAGTGAATCTTTAAAAAGAAGTAGCAGAAAAAGCAGAGTTTTTATCTTATAAGATATGACTTAAGGGGCCTAGGAAGAGAAAAAACTTGTTTTGTCAGGTCTAAATCCAGTTATATTTCATGGGGCCACGTATCACGTCCAACCTTTGATATCTGGCACACAACAAACAAACAGGAAAAGCCTTTCGTGTGCTTTAATAAAAACAGCTTTCCATTTTAAAACGATAAATATATTGGAAAAATCTGTTGGCTCTCCAACAGCTCTTATAAAACAAAGCTCGGACGCTGTGTTTTTGTTGTTTGAAAGACAGAGAAATCAGGGGCGCGGACATTATTAGGCTCCCTTTGATCGCGCCCTGGGATGGGAAGCCTTCGGGCAAAGCCCTGGGGGCAGGACGCGTTTTTTTTTTTTTAATCGATCCCGGAACCTTCGCGCGGCGGAGGGGGCGGGCACGCGGGAGGGGCCCGAGGGAGGG